TTAAAGTTCAAAAATTGACAAAATATGGAAAAATCACGAAAATTTGCAAATTATTTCGAGTTAGAAATTCATAAAAATTTTTCTTTTTAAATCTAAGATATGAAAATCTAATACAAGATTACTCATAAGATTGTCTACCTTTATCAATAAAAAAATCTCTACCGGAAAGTCAAATTAAATTTTTATGAGCGTTTGAAATTCAAATTTTTACAACATTGGATATTCACTCGATTTCTCATGTGGCAATTTCCTTTTTTTGTTGTAATTAAAAAACGAATTACTGTAGATACATGAAAATTTCACTGAATGTTTATATTAGCATTTCCTATACACCATACAATTTTGAAAATATTTTGACTCTTTTTGAGCCGTTTACGGACATTTTCAGTTTTCAATTTTTTTAGTTTTTTTTTTCTATAAATATCAATTAAGTTTTATCTGTTGGGCCAAAAAGTGTAAAAATTTAATACAAGGCTCCTGATATATTGTTACAATATCAGTTGAAAAATATTAAAAATACATGGGCACAATTTTTTTTTATAAGCATTTTAACATCGAATTTTGACAGAATTTTTCAAAATCTCGAAAATTATTAATTATCGTAATTAATAAATTATAAAATGTTCAGTTTTTATAGCTAAGGATTGAAAATTTAAAACAAGATTCTACGTAAGTAGTTAATTCTCTTACCGAAAAATCTAAAAAAATTTCAATGTAACTGTAAAAGGATTAAGTCTATGTACCACAAGACCAGCTACGTATAATAGGTAAGAACTACAGTTTTTTTCTGACTAACCTAATTTCATCACCATCATAGAAGCACAAATTATCAATATAAAAACTTCTATGATAATCGAGTACCATGTTACTTTTTTTGCATAATGAAGTATCTGAAATAAATAATTTATAGCATATATTACAACTGAAATGAATAACTCTTATTATTAGGTAGGTTTTAGATTCTGAGTGAAACGATGAATGTATTGATTTTACAATGATGTGTGTTTTTTTTTTTATTTTTTTTTTTTTGTGTCTGTGTACACGATAAGTAGTCGAAATAATGCTTCGATTTTCGACTTCAGTATCTTGTTCGATTGGAAAGTGAATATCGTTGGTGCATTGGGAAGGTCAAAATTTAAATTTCCCAGTAGTTTTCAAGAGTGCCGGGAAAAACAACATAAAAATTAAGGAAAAACGGGAATTTTTATGCAAAATCGGTTTTCCAAAAAATCGATTTTGGTTTTTGGTGTAACTTTAAAACAAATAACCGTAGATACATGAAATTTTCAGTGGTTGTTTATATTTGCATTTTCTATACACGATGACATTTTCAAAATATTTTGATTTATTTTGAACTGTTTAGGGACATTTTCAGTTTCCAATTTTATTAGTTTTTTTTTTTATGAATATCAATAAAAATTTATTTGTTGAGTAAAAATACTTGAAAATTTAATACAAGGCTCCTACTATATTGTTTCAAAGACAGATGAAAAATATTAAAAATCGTTAGTCACAGTTTTTTTTTTAAGCATTTAAAGTTCAAAAAAACAATATTCCATAATATGGAAAAATCACGAAAATTTGCAAATTATTTCGAGTTAGAAATTCATAAAAATTTTTCTTTTTAAATCTAAGATATGAAAATGTAATACAAGATTCCTTATAAGATATCCTACATTTATCAAAAAAAAAAATTCTATAAGAAAGTCAAATTAAATTTTTATGAGCGTTTGAAATTCAAACTTTTACAACATTGGATATTCACTCGATATCTCATGTGGCGATTTCCTTATTTTGTTGTAATTCAAAAACGAATTACTGTAGATACATGAAAATTTCACTGAATGTTTATATTAGCATTTCCTATACACCATACAATTTTGAAAATATTTTGACTCTTTTTGAGCCGTTCACGGACATTTTCAGTTTTCAATTTTTTTAGTTTTTTTTTTTCTATAAATATTAATAAAGTTTTATCTGTTGGGCCAAAAAGTGTGAAAAATTAATACAAAGCTCCTGATATATTGTTACAATATCAATTGAAAAATATTAAAAATACATAGGCACAATTTTTTTTTATAAGCATTTAAAGATCGCATTTTGACAAAATTTATCAAAATCTCGAAAATTATCAATCATTGTAATTAATAAATTATAAAATGTTCAGTTTTTATAGCTAAGGATTGAAAATTTAAAAAAAAAATTCTCATAAATAGTTCATACTGTAGCCAAAAAATCTATAAAATATATGAGCACAGTTATTTTTTACAGACATTTTAAGTTCAAATTTGGGACGAAATTACATATTAAAAAACCTAGCATACCTATTTTAGTTATTTTGTTGTGAGTGTATAATACTATTCGTGGGTACTTGAAACTTTTAAAGTACACTATATTATATATCAATGATAGTATCAGGGTTTGTTATTGATGTATAACGTGTTAAAGTACCTAGTGGATATTGTGATATGATTAATTTGGAATTTATTATAAGTCAATTTTTTTTTTAATACCATAAATATGTATATAATATGTCTTAAACCTAGACTGACATACCTTCTTCGCTCAGAATCGTTTTTCTTATACAATGATATTTTATCATTGAATTCAAATTTAATACCATCCATTATACAGTGACCCACTCGTAACCTACAGTACAGCAGAGCGACATCCACTTACCCACCTTTTTTTTAATGTATTTAATGCATTGTAGTAAAACTACTCGATCAAGTAGGTTTATTAGCTTAATAAAACTCGTAATATAAATTTGTTTTTTTTTGATTAAAAATTTTATGATTATAAAATTCATCCTCCAATGCTCAGCCAAACTCCCCAACATATAAACCGTATTCAAACCTTCTAATCAAAATATCTCTGACAAATCATGAAAGCCCCATACCTACTATGTATCAGGTATCTAACCATTCTAACCACACACTATATAATGTGTTATTCCTATTCTCTATTCCCCTTGTCAAAAAAGTGGCCAACACTCTTTTGGTCGCAAACCACTCGGAACTTATCAACTCCAAACATTACTGGTGTATCTTCCTTTAAGCTGCTTAAAAATCAAACGATGCCTTGACCAACTAGCCGAATAAGGCAACCTACCCACACCAAAGTGCCTTCAAGTGCCTACAGCACTTGCATTTGTTGTATATAATTATTTTATGGATTGTGTATAACAAAAAAAAAATCAACTGAAAAAAAAACTTTGATTAAAAGCTATTAAACTGTAACTCAATGGCAAATGGCACGACATGTTTCTAAAAATCCTGAGTAGGAAACATTAGTTTCTAGAAATTATCGGTGTGACGGTGTGGATTAACTTTGTCGCAATGCATCACTACGCAGTCTATGGCAGAGAAACCTAACCTCGTCAGTTTTTTTTAGGTTGGGTCCTATATTATTATTATAGTATTTACTATTTAGTGATGTTTTATTATGTTATCCTATATTATAATTTTTACAGTGAATACGAATATAATATACTTGTCGAATTATTGACATTATATAGATTATATATTAATATTATAGTGTAAGTAGTAATGTTATACAAAATAAAAATAAAGTTACTATAGTTTCAATACACATTTCAAATCCAATACTAATCGAAATTAAAGAAACAATGATCACAACAACACGACAAGCAGATATGTATAATTTTACCAAATTTGATTTATCAAAAAAATGTATTATATATTATGCTAATAAAAAATGTATAATGTATACTAATAATATGAGTGATTTGACTAAAAGAAAAAATACTTCCATGGTTCTATTAAATTATTTACTGTACAATCGTACATAATACTATATGTAAATTATTAAACTGGGATATATTAAATGTACCACTTATGTTAAAACATGTAAAATATTTAAATTTTATGATTTTTTCAAGTTCTTTATGACTCTACTTAACAATTAATATAATTGATTAATTAAAACTTATTAACTTACTAGGTAGGTATAATGTTTATAGGTACTTTATATAAAGGGTAACTATACTTCATATTATTATAATCTTTGGTATATTAAAACCTTGAACAGTAAATGAAGAAGAAGAATATTGTAATTTGCATTGATGTCATAACCCTATTTATCTCCCACTTAAACATATCAATTAATTATATTTATTTCAAAGGGATATTTTTATACAAATATAAAGTACCTTTACATTAATTTTAAATAATTTAATACACATTTTTAATTTACAGTTACATATTTCAAACTCATCCGCCATCCTATTATATTTGAATTCCAATACTTACATAAATATTATATACATATGATTATTTTAAGATAGCATCCCTCTTTATTATATACAATATTCCATCAAATATGTTGGTACTTAAATAACATTTTTAAATCTCTAAACACATTAGCATTATAACAAAACGTAGGTACAAAGCATTTCTCTTCGGCACTTTATGATTGTTCTATTTTTGTTTTAATAAGGTGAACACTCAGCTTGCACTCTGGAGTCTTACTGTGCACGTCACACCTCCACATTCTAGGCCAAAAAAGTATGTAAGGTAGATAATAACAATACAATTTGCATGATTTCTAAAAGTATTATTTTTTTCGTCATGTTTGTTTCAAAAGATAAGTGTAAAATATTATTTATATTATTATCATATTAATTCGTCATTTTCATAATTTTTATTTTCTATTTGTATTCTAATGGGCATATGGTATCATCTACTCTATACTATAATGGTGGGGGGGGGGGTTGTAGTAATGTCAGCTATATACCTGCAATGAACTGTTTAATGTTAGATCTCTTGCGTAAATATTAATTTAATATAAAACATTTCTAAATATTCTTTTCTTAATCACTATATTTTATCGCCATTCCGTTTTACCCAAATATATTGTTGTCAATATAAATTGTACATTAAGTTGGATATTTGTAAATCGCTATTCCGGATGGATACTCGTCACCTCGAGACTCGCGTTGACTACGATACAATAATAACATAATATTAAATTCCCCGTACCTCTGCGGTCCGCGACCTCTGGAAGTCCGCCGCCGGCAACCTGCCCAGCTGAATCCTGCAGGACGACCGGTTCCGCGACCGGCTCCCAGCAGCGTCCTCCCGGAAAATCAGCACGGAAATCCCTTCCGTCGTCGCCGACATCGTCGTAGTAGTAATCGTAACAAAAGTAGTAGTTTTCGTTGTCGTCCATCGTCAAAGCGTTCGGTCCAGCACTGTCCCAGAATCGGGGAGCACCGGCGATATTTAAGCGGAGAGTTCGGAAACGGAGCGCCGCCGCCATCGGTCTCGCGCCGTTTGTCCGCGGCACAGGCTCAAAGGGACCGGTTCACGGTCCTCGGCACCGCTCCCACGAGCATGTGGACCTCGCACGTGTCCAACATTTATCGTGAAAACAATATTACGGTATCTGTATGTGAGGTATACAGGGTGACTCTTTTAACGGCATACTGCACTATTTGTCTCGCACAGCATTAGAACGTTATTGAAAATAATATATATTTTTTACATAACTCAATTAATAACAATTAATCTACATTTTTGTATTGAAAACATTTAGTTAACCGTAAAAACCAGAAAAAAATATACTGTGCTTTTCAATAATATAATTCTTTTGGGAAAAACTTTAAATTAATTTTTTTTTTCGAAAACTTTAATTCACGAAAGTCAGTTTCTACAACTGTTGAAAGAATCATACAGACATACAGTCACCGCATGAGGCTTTATTAGTGTGTATATAACACGCGTTCTTATACACTGAATGTCATTGTGATGAATATCGAAAAAGTATGATGTATTATTACACAATATTATGTCAGAATTTGAATTTTTCAAAATACCATGTGCAGTGTCATACCGTCATTAATAGTCCATAAACTATTATATTGAGGGTGCTTTAGCTCCGGGAAAAAGGTACCAGTCCCACATTCCACCCCCTTTAATCATCGTCGTTGTTTGGCGATATCGTTTTACATTTTTCCATAAAATAAAACTCGATATTATTTTATATAATTATATATTTTATACTATTGAATAAATCAGTAAGCATTTAACACGGTTTTTCATTCAGATTGATCAAAGACCGTTAAGAACGAAATTTTAGCCATATATGTACACTGTACAGTGTACACCAACAAGTGTATTTTTTATGACCAGCTATTTTTAAATCGACCATTTTTATTGCTTATTTCTATCTATGAGACCAGACATAATCGTAAGCCATCGTTGGAAAACTCAATGCACTATATATACATTGATAACATTAATTACAAATAAAGTAAATTATTGATTGAAAGTTTCAGCTAAAAAAAAATTAATCAACCATTGATTATCTTGACAGTCGACAGATATTGTTGTAATTGATTAACCTGTAGATTTATCTTATCCTCATCCGTAGCCTTATATGCGAAATTCAGTACAATGTTTTTTATGTTATACAAAAAATGGAATTCAATCTAACAAAATTTTAAAAAAGATCCGTTAAGGTAAAAATAAATTGATATTATGGTACTTATATTAAATAAGTTGTTCTTAAAACTGTGTTCTGAATTCCAAGCAGAACGATTGCACTACACCCTGTTTCTATAGTACCACCGGCCTCACCTATATACTACTTTTACTAGACAGTGTTTTTAGATTTTGAGTGGAACGATGAATGTATTGATTTTACAATGATAAGTGTTTTTTATTTTTTTATTTTATTTGTGTCTTTGTACACGATAAGTAGTCGAAATAATGCTTCGATTTTCAACTTCAGTATCTTGTTCGATTGTAAAGTGAATATCATTATTCATTGGTGCATTTGGGAGGTCAAAATTTAAACTTCCCAGTAATTTTCAAAAGCGCCAAGAAAAACAAAAGAAAAATTAAGGAAAAACGGGAATTTTTACTCAAAATCGAATTTGGTTTTTGGTGTAACTTTAAAAAAAATGACCGTAGATACATGAAATTTTCATTGGTTGTTTATATTTGCATTTTCTATACACGTAATTTATTATAGGGTCCTATTATAGGTCATTTTTTTTTAATACCATAGATAAGTATATAATATGTCTTTCCTATACCTAGACTGACATACCGTCTCCGCTCAGAATCGTTTTTCTTATACAATGATATTATATTATTGAATGCAAATTTAATACTTTCCATTATACAGTGACTCACTTGTAACCTACTGTGCAGCATAGCACCTTTTATTTTTTTCATTTATTAACTTAGGCCATTGTTTGTTTTTTAACTGTAGGGGAGGGTACTGTAGGTTGTAAACACTTGAGTTTTATATTTGCAGAATTTTCAAATGGGCACCCGTAGGTATCTGCCATGCTCTGGTGAGTTATGGCGCCGATAACGGCCTCTCTCTCCAGACACCGTGACTGCCCGAAGAGAAGTGCCGTCAGTGACTGAGGTTCGAACAGGCGACGGTGTGCGTCACAACCGATGCCTTAGTTAAGAAATAATTATTTATTATATTATGATATAATACAAATACTATATTGGGTTATCTGGAAATACCATCTGCTGGCATGAAATATAATATTGTACCTATTTATTTTTTTTGTCTATTTTATTTGAAATCCGAATATACTAATATGCGCAATGTGCTCGGTAAAACTGTAGGTACTCTATACTATTTGTAATATGATATCATAGGTACTCGGCTAAAAATTCAAAATGGCACCTGCAGTCGCATAGCTTTAAACACACACGTTCATAATGATGTTAATATAGATGTTAATCATAGCAAGGCTACTATTATAGGTATCCCGTCAAACGACGCAGTACAAGCAGTGTACCACAAACTTTATTCATTTAACACATATTTTGATATCCACACGTCATCTACTGCTAGATACACCCTAATTACATAATGATATTACGTTGTCCCGTTCCAACAATACAGAGACTAATAGACTATGCAGGTATACATAATCATTGTTACTATATAGGTATGTTTAGACAATCACAACAACTCGGTCCTACATACACGGCACACCGTAACAAATACAGCGATCGCCATATATAATAAGAGTGATGCAATTATAACAATATTAATAATAATAATAATAAACGTATAATATATTATTAGATTTAAGATTATTCACGCGCCTTGCTGCATATGTACCTCTGTATATTATACCTACCTACGTGGCGATGTATGATGGATACAGGTATAATAGGTATCCACCTCGCTATCGCCGCCTCTAAGTATTTCGCATCACACCTTGAGCGATTCTTTGATCGTATATATGCCCAACAACAAATAACTTACGTCTCGTGCGAACATATTATATATGTACATATAATAATATACAATACAACAGGGTTTACATTATTCAACTGCACCGCTGTTTACCATTCTGCTACAGTGTCAGGTTGATGTATCATGTCATGTGTGTGACTATACGATTTGTCTTATCGTGTTGTAGTTCTATATTATATTATTACACTCAAATACTATCTCGTATATTAAATATTTACATTATATTATAATATATATTATATAATATAACATGTACGATAGTATAGGTACAACACATATTTTTGGGGTTTGGCTAAACCGAAATAGTATTACCTACCGTTAAAAAGGAAAATGCAATAATAATTTTTCTTTTCGATTTGTATATTGACGGCCTTTCTGTATTGTAGATCATAAATATATATTTAAATCATCATTATGCATGACTAGTGACTATGGTTAGTTTTTTTATGCAATATCATTTTTTTAACGTAGCGGTGTAAAGTGGAAATAATATATGTTCTAACTATTTTAGAAGACCCTGATTGATTTAATGATATTATTATTTAGAATTATTGAAAAATTCAAGTTTTTAGGGTGTTTTTTGAATTTTCAGAACGTTTTACACAATTTTTTTTTTAAGTGAACGTTAATATTGTAGTATCTACAAAATGTATTGTTTTAATAAAAAAAACCAACAAATTGCTACCTAGGGACTATAGAGGTACAGAACTATAGTGGTCAGATAGTGTCGAACACGTAGTAGATATACAATACACGTCGACCACCGTTTTCATATCAACTAATAATTTAAAGGGTAATAAAAATGTTTCTATTCTAATATTTTTAGTATTTTAAATTGTATCCTGAAAAAATTCACCATTGTAAATACGTTTCCGTTTTACCACTTTTTAAGCAGAATGATATACATTTTTATTACCCTTTTATGATTTCATGATTTTTTGTTTTTTTGCGAGTTCTTAAGGCACCTCTATTCATGACCAATGTGGTGGTGTCTCATGTAACACGATACTATCGCTATGAAATTGAGCACAAGTGCAGGTTTATCTGAAAAACATTAACAGTTATATTGTTCGTCTACTGCAATAAGGAATATTTATATGGATAGGAAGATGTATCGTCTGGTGGTCGATATTTAATTATTTATTATTATTACCACTGAAATTGAATAAAATTCTCTGAATAACTGCTATTACCATTTTTCATCAAATAATTTGTTATGCAATTAGATTGATTAAGTATACCTAAATTATTGTTCGAAATAAACGAATTAAATTTCTATTCAATAACACAAACAAAATAAGGTAGTTTTTGGTGACTAACATTAAATTATGTGTATATAAGAAGATGATCTCTCATAGAAAATACTTGCTAAACGTTTTTATATTTAATTTTTGTACAAATATACTTCATAATTGTCCACCTCTTCAACTAACTATGGTTCAAAATGAACCACTACGTCGCTGCATGTATTTAGCTAATTTAGACCCTTCCTTCTCACTAAATAATTTTTAATTTTTCGATGTATAAACTATTTATTGTACTAAATGGTAATATTGTAAATTGGGCGAAAGCCCATGATGTATTATAAAATAAAACAATAATATAGTACAATAAATATGAATGCAAAATACAAGTATCAAGACAATCAAGTAGGTAGGTAGTTGACTGGATAGTATTTTGATACCCATACGGCTATACAGTTAAAGGATATAATATATTGTGGCTCGACGCGGCTCAGTCGCTGAAATCACTCGACGTAATGCAGAGTAAGCAACGGCCGCTGCCACTAATTCTCGGATGGGTGACCACCCGGGTTCCAAAAACCTTGCCACACATACACGTGTTCCTAACCGACAGTACCGAACATCCCAACCCTACTGTCCCAACCCTTCCAACCTACAGGCTAATGACCCCAAAACATAATACTAAACCTA